CAACCAAAAAATTCCCAATAAACTGTACATTAAAATGAAAAGTAAAATATATCACATATATTTATATCAGTGGTAAGAAAAATAAAGGAAATATCATTAGGATACAGAAATTGTGCATATAAATGTAGATAAAGTGTACAACATAAAGAAGTAAATATTTGACAAGAGATTTCGATACAAAACAAGTTAAAAATAATATCTCGACATAAATGACAACAACGACAAAATGATAAAGTCTTGTGGAGAGAATACTGATAAGCCATTGCACAATATTCAATAATGCATACACAAGTTTCTGAGCACTGAGCGATCTATCTTTTGTCATAAAGGCCAGTCAAATAATTAATCAAGTCCTAAATAGAGAAGATACGAGGCTGCGGAATAACATGCTCCATCAACTTACATTTCTTCCACTCGCACTGGCTAATTGTAACAACGTTTTCCCATGCTGGAAAAGACAAAGCCTCAATATGCGCGTTTGTTTATAGCGAGAATGATGCCTCACCTTCGTGGTTGTATGAATGTCTGCTCCCGCACGAATAAGGTGCTGTGCACTAGCCAAGTTACCATGGATCACCGACATGGCTAAGGCTGATGTCCCTTCTTTGTCTGTGACATTGACATCTGCTCCGTGATCGATTAAACTCTTGATAATATCGGGATGACAGTTAACGCTCACTGGAAATAGAAAATGGGCATCTTAGCAACGCAAAATTGCTCTTCTTCTTATTGTCATTACCAGCTCTGAACAATGGTGTCCAATTTTGATTATCTGGCTCAGTGGCTTTTGCTCCTTTTTGTAGAAGATACACAACTGTATCAACATTATTACTATCAATTGCCTTGTGCAGCACACTACCTACAAATCACATATCATGCTCCTAACTATGTTAGAACTTTCTTTCCTGTATCTCACATTTATTATCTCGCGTGTTCACATTAGCTCCAGCATCTACTAATAAAACACACGCTTTTTTAAATCCACATCCTGCTGCTACCATCAACCTGCACAATGAAAACAGGTCAGTTTAGCACTTTTGGTTTTGTTACACACATACGCTGTTCGACCAGTCTCTGTTGTGGCATCAACTTTTGCACCATGGTTAAGTAAAATCTCAACCTTTCTAGGAAAAGCCGATTGATAACAGATTGATGAAAACGACGTACATATTCAGTTTACGTACTCGGCATCTAGTTTTACACAAGCATGCATTAATGGATAATGGCCATTTTTATCAGGAATATCCAGCAGTCTCAATGATTGTCTGGAACACAGAGAAACCAAATTAGTCAACATATCATAAGCCTAGATTTGTGCAATTTATCCAATTACTCACTCATTTTTGAGCAAAGTGAGAAGATTATCTTTTCCCGGTACGGCAATTGTTCTATTCATCATGTCTGCACTCAGAGGCTCGGCTAAAATTAGAGATCACAGCAGAGGCATCAGCAAGGGTCTAGAAGCATTAACTTTATTTACCCGTTGTTGATGTTGACATCATCTTAGACCAGTCGCTTCGATCATTGCCGCCCGCTCTGATTTGCAATCTGAATTCATACTCAGTACGCTGCTTCAAATTATCAACAACAGTCGACAACGCCGAACCACTAAAAGTAGTTATACAAGGGCTTAAATGCTAACTAAACATTATTCGTCACAGGGAGTATTCTAGACATCTCTCTACTCTTTCCTTTTGTATTGACTATACAAGATCGATTTTGGATAAAAGCGCGTCGCGACAACATGGACGTACAAAGTAAGTGGAGATAACTCGTCTGGACACTATTTAGAAAAACAGCAGCCTCTCAGTGTTCGCCGGATCATTTAGATGTATATGATGGCTAGATTTCTCTATAATAACTTTTATTCACTTTATGGTAACAGTAAGAAAGCTCAAACTCAAAACCAAGATGATATTCGAAATCAGCGCAGAAAGCTGCATCTAACCATGTGTCAGACAACACATTTCTCAACAAAAAGTTGCTATCGACAAAATTTCACATGAGGCCTAATTTATAGGAACACATCTTTTGGCAGAATACAATTCTAAGTCACACATTCGACAGAGCGTGCTTGAAAACATAGAAAAGTTCATTGTTGAGGTTGTCGAATACACTCTACACTCATGTACGTCTGCTACTGCATACATTAATGTTAATTTAATGCATACTACATACGTCCGAAGATCGAGTCACGTCTCTGCAGAACAAAGAAAAGTGCTTGCTTACTACTAGGCATGCAACAATCCCAAACTAGAAATCACTAATCGGCGCCAAACGGTTTGTTACCGAACATGTTCCGTCGCCAAACCGTTCGCAACCGAACGGTTCGCTACTGAACATGTGCGCTGCCGATCAGCAAGCCCTAGCTCTGGATGTTTGCATGCCTGATCTGGACTAAAAGCAAGTTGCATGAAATTGAAGCTTTTGAAGGAACTAACCAGTGAGAAAATAGATTAACTAAAGCACAATGTGAGTGAATGTGTCTTCTACCGGATCGCTACCGAAGATTTAAAAAAAATAGTTTGTCAAAGCTAAACACTTAAGAACGAAGAAATACATGAAAGAAATCTTTGTAAAAAAAAAAACAGAAAAAATGGTAAAGATTACAACAAACGGAGGAACAGCCTTAATTACACCGTAGCCATAGGTAGTCATGTAAAGAAAAGTTTGAATTCGAGCAGCAAATTTATGTCTGCTTTATTCCAGAAGGGTGAAAGTACCTTTAGTTTCCATTATATCTGATTTACTCTCTAATTACTTACTAACGTGGCTGTATAGTAGATTGATTTACTTTGTTTTCTTGCAAAAAATGGTTTTCCTCACTGTGCAAAAAAAAGTGGATAGACAGTTGCACCTCTAATTTGAATGTATCTTTATAAGATTTATCGTACTTTGTCCTAATAGTTTGTCCGCAGCGCGCTCGTCGAGCTCTCTGATAAGAAAAATATAAACTATCGTATTTGAAATCTTCATCCGAACACGTTCGGTAGCGATCCGGTAGAAGACACATTCACTCACATTGTGCTTTAGTTAATCTATTTTCTCACTGGTTAGTTCCTTTAAAAGCTTCAATTTCATTGAATTTGTCTTTAGTCCAGATCAGGCATGCAACCATTCCAAGCTAGGGCTCGCTGATTGGCAGCGCACATGTTCAGTAGCGAACCGTTTGGTGACCGAACGTGTTCGGTCACCAAACTATCGGTTTAGTGCATGCCTACCTACTACTAGAATTCACCAGCAGTTGATCTCTCAAACACTTTGGTGCCGAAATGGATAAGCGATGCTCAACTTCTGAGTTATGCAGTACACCATTGCACCACAATCATTTCTGAGCTTTAAATCGAGTGCAATCGCATTTATTGTAGATTCGGTACACAGCAACTACTGTCTTCAACATTCATAGTCTTAAAACATCTTTACTTTACATACGAGTAGGCTGGCGACCATCCCGATTGCCCTTTGATTCTTTCATGCAGATGGAACTGGATACCACTCTTTATATTTTCTTGGTCATCCACGATTGACGGTAACGTCTTTTTCACACTTTCCCAGCTCAGCTCGATACTATGATGCGTCGCCTTTATCAATTCAGGTGGAGCAGCCTGTGGAACTCTCCCATCGAAGGCTAAAACAGACGAGCCATAAATTCCTTTTCATCGACTTATTCATCAACACATACCCATACGGAATCGTCTTTAAAATTAAGATGGACGGAAACTATCAAATCTAGAAAGCATACTCCTACTACTTTCACAATAAATAAAATCGGACATTTTTAAAAATTCACATGCAAAAATAATAACATTACTCTGTTTTTCCTAAGTAACCGCATGAGCTTATCAATATTTTCGTTTTCCTATTAAAGCTAAACGAGTTCTGACGGAATGCAACTTCGTCAGCTACTTTTTTCTTACAAGAAGTGTACTGTGACCGATTATATCACAACTTTCGGATGTAGATGTGATCATCTTCATACTCTACGACTTTGAACTCTTTTTCTTTTCTCCACCATCCTGTCTCCATACCTTATCTGGAACCAAGGTTTTCTACAAATCTTATTTTCATGTTCTTGTTTGCTGGTATAGTACGGTGCGCGATATGCAAACGAAACACATAAAACATCACATTTTTCGTTAGAAATAAAACGCTGTTTCGTCCCGAGTAGCAAGCGTAGCATTTATACTACCCGACAGAAGACACGAACAAGGCAGCAGATACAACAGACACTTCCACTTAGTGAATGGAGACATCAATAGTGTCTCTTTCAGCTTTTTCGAGCACGCTGTCTATCACCATTACTAGTACAATCGCAAATGAAGTTGCTAAGTTAATGTGTGCTTCGCAGAACAACGTTGTCGTTTGATTAAACGAATACTCAAATGACAAGTATTCTGCTCATCAAATAAACTGTAGTAAACATGTCAACGACCATGTGTGAATGCTTCCGTGCTAACACTTTTAACATCACTTCAACATAGAAGGAGTGACATCTCGTTTTATGCTCTACAGCAGGCTCATAGGTAGACAAATGAGACGTTTCTGATATCAGATGTTCGATAGGACAGCACATAAACGAAAAAGAAAAGAACAAAATTGAGAGGACTTGCGAGTTCATATCCTGAATTTCAATGTCAGACGTGAAAAGACATCGTTTTCATATGAAATAGTTTTAAGTTGTTCTTCTTTGATTTCAGATGACTACGCCCAAGTCTTCCGGTCATTATCACCTAGTTGCTTGCCAAGTGTGTGGAAGTTTTATACAACCAGACCCATCGTTGGACGCAATCGATGAGCAACAGATTGTTAAAACTGGTTGTGGTATGCTTAGCACGCTGCAAAACAAAACACTCCGACAAGATTTGACTGTTTTACTTTCAGGTTCTAGTGCAAACATCGACGAATCGTACAATGAAATTCAACAAGGAGGAGTATGTATGATCACAAAAGGCTCTATGAAGTTTGTCATTTCAATTGTTTAGACGGATGTCTATGGTACCATCGTAATACGAAAAACTCTGGGCCGAAAACGATTGTAAGTTTTACTTCGAGAAATGCAATCAGGACAGAAAGGCCGCAATGTTTGAGGAACAAGAGTCGATCGCTGAATGCTTTTCTCTTCATGATTTAGATCTCAAAGCAGTTTGGATAGTGCGAATGACTTCGCTTTTGTTGCTAATGAGTTAACAAAAGGTTATGAGGAGAAAAGTATGAGAGAACATCGAAATGATATCAATGTAAGTTTCCTAACGTTAGTGCTGCAACTGTTTGGTGATTTGTTGACATTGATTTTGAATAGGTGCACGAGAAAATATTCGATTATCTTTCTGAACAGTACATATTCGATCATCCACTATGTCAAGTAAGTTGTGTAGAAGCGAAAGAGTCTTCGTGTATGATCGTCTATTGTTCTCAAGGATTGTACCGATACCCTTCTGGATAAATTAGACAATGATTTACAAATGGCAACTCATGAACTGACGAGTTACAAGTAAGTCGAACACGATGAACTCTCGCTGCAACAGTCCATATTAGATGCACTAGTTTCGAGTGTGCAAGATTTCTTGGGTTCGAATAATGACAAAAGTACAATTTCTATTTCACTCTAGAAAGCTGCTCGAACAACTAAATTCAACGACGTACAATGATGAAGAATATGAAAGTTTGCAAAAAGAACTTCGCGATGTATGTATGTGTATGTTACGACTCGAGAAGTTTCCTTTTAAATAGAGAGTGGAGAAGAAGGATTGCATCCCTCTTCTCTTTAGGAAAAACTTGACTCAGTAGTGAAGGCTGTGATAAATGTGTTTCTACCGGGTAACAATGGTGGAAATAGAGTCCGATGACTACTTCAGTGCTCTTGAGTGGCAACTATTGTTTTGTTATGTTGACTTGCGTATGTAAACCGTAATTACTCAGAACGATTGCCCAAAATCCCATCCTTCGTCCGAGTTCTCTGAAGAACGCTGATCAAATGTACCTTTGTTTTCAGTTAGATGACGAAGAAAAAAAGCTCAAAGACGAATTGATCGAACTTGAACAAGAACATAATCGTGTGAAACAAGAAACAGATGAATGTACCAGAGAAGAACAGTTGTTGGAACTGGAGGAAATCAAGTGTGTTCGATTTACTCATTTGTTGACTATCAATGATCAAGTGTTTTTCTTTCTATTTCTTAGATATTTGCGTGAATATAATGAATATAAACGTTTACTTTTCGAAGCAGAAGACGAACAGAAAAGGTACATGTTCGACACTATATGCTTTCATGTTTGTTAGTGTTAACTTTCAGCATTGACAATCAAATCAAGCATGCACGAGCTCAGTTCGATAAATTAACGAAAACGAATGCATTCAATGCGGCATTTCACATATGGTGACGAAAAAGTCACATAAAAACGAAGCAGTTCAATGATTGAAGTCCTTTTGTATTTTTAGGCATCAAGAGCACTTTGGAACGATTAATGGTTTCCGTTTAGGACGATTACCGAGTATAAATGTATGTGGTGGGCTCGTTTGTTAGACAACTTCTATTATTGTGTGTTCCAGGTCGAATGGTCAGAAATTAACGCTGCACTTGGTCAAGCCGCGCTACTTTTACATTCATTAGCGAAACGAATCGACTTACAATTTAACAAGTTTGTGACACGGAGTTTGACGGGTCTTATTTCTGTACTGCTGCTATTGTTTTCCCGTAGATATAAAATCGTGCCATTTGGTAGTCATTCATTCATTGAAGAATTGAATGAGAAAAAGAACGGAAAACCAGCACAACTACCACTTTACACAGTGAAAAGACATTTTACGTGGGATGGTCCGTAAGTAGATTAGTGAATTATTACATGATCACCTTTGAGGAGTCAATTGTATCGCTACCCAAGATGTTCGCTCAAACTCGCTGCGCTTAAAATTCCAGAAGAAATGAATAGTTTCTGAGAAGCTGTGTCGAGAATATAAAATGAGTTTTGTTGTTTCAGATTTGATCAGGCAATGATCGCATTTCTCGATTGTCTGAATCAGGTGACTAAACTTTTCCTTTTGTGTCATGGGAAGTGTCAATCATTTGCTTCTTTGTCTAGTTAAAACAAGCTATTGAAACCAAAAATCATCGCTTTTGTTTGCCCTATAAGATGAACAATAAAGGGCTCATAACGGACAGCAACGGGCAATCATTCAACGTCAGGTATGTGGTGACGAAATGTGGCGTTCTGGAAATAGCGACGTTTGTGTTCCTTTTCAAGATCTCAAGTCAGTTCACCGGAACAATGGACAAAAGCACTGAAGTATTTCCTGACAAATTTGAAATGGGGTAATTGAGAGTGGAACAAACGAATCGTTCTCATCGATTATTTCTTCTCTTTCTTTAGGTTTAACTTGGATAACGAGTCAACTCCCGGACGACATGACCACGAATACAACGGAAATAAAACAAACTTGATCTTTCTTATTTTCTTTGTTTTTGTGAAGTGTAGATAAATTGTGAATAACTACTAAATCTATTTTCTTTTACTTGTTCTATACGTATGTCACTTTGATCGATACTTTGTGTTTTTTATAATTTTTTAAGTATAAACTTAGCGCTCGTTCTCAGACGTTTCACTGTACTGTTGCAAAGGTTCGAAAATGGTCGGCAATTGATTTTGACAAACAGTTTTCTTGCGCAAATCGGATGCGGCTAAGACTTTTGTTCATTTCAAGTTCTCTCATGCATCTTTTGCCTCTATCAACGACTAGATGATAACTACTAAATCAATATCATTCTTATCGCCATTCGTCCGAAATCATGTATCTCGACGCACATTCTCACTGACTGCAGTGAATCATCGACGAAGAATCAAACATCCCACATACCAATTTTTTCCCTATCAGAAATATGACACAGCCAATCCCATGCCACACAGAGATCGAGTGCCAGTTTGGAAGTAGGTTTGTCTTTGCTCTCGCTCTCTCTTCATAAAATACGAGGCATCTTTCTTGTTGTTAGTCGTCTACAAATAACAACCAAAATGGCATCAGAACATAAAGTTGGTGGAACGAAATTGTGGCATGCAATGTACATGGCACGTAAGTATTTGTGACAATATGCGAGAATGATGTTGTGAATTCTTCTACTTGTTTGTTGTAGATCGTGGAGTTCAAATGGTAAATAATGACTTGTCTGTCTCATATTCTTACTTGTGAATGTACATACATATACTTGCAGCCTGGCTATTTCGACCATGAAACCGGCAAATTTGTATATATCAATGAGATGGTACCGGAATTCGTTGTACCGGATTTAACCAATTTTAAAGTATGTCACTTTTGAGGAACCAAATTTAGTGTTCGACTTAAAAGGATTTGTAGGCGAATTCTGACCGCTTCCGACGAGGCTAAACACAAATTGCTTGACTTTGTTTGTGTTTATAGTTAAAACCCTATGTGGCATACAATGTCTCTGAAATTAAACAAGATCAATTTCTTGCTAAAGACTTATTTAATTCAACATATGCAGCTGAAGTTGTTGAAGATTTCAAACAGGGAAAATACAAAACTGAAGAAAAATTGACAGTGAAAGATCCACAATCATCATCTGAGTCCTAACGGATTGTTTTGTCTTTTGTCTATGTATCCTTTTATGTTTTAATAAAATGTTTGACA